CATGAAGGAAACGCTGCCCTTTTTTTTTGCAAAAGAACAGTCTCAATAAACTAGTTTTACTAATAATTTAAAACAAAGAGGTTGATTAAACCTCTTTAGCTTATTGGTTCCTAGCATGGTTAGCTTTGCTAGGTGTACGCTTCAGCATATATTCCCAACATGGACTTCAAATATGGAACAAACATTTCCAGATCAGGATGTTCCAAAGCCTACTGAGGTTGAACATTAATCAAACAGAGCCACGCTGCAGTAAATGCCTTCAGCCCTCCTTCTATCTACTCTAGGCAGCTTTGGGACAATGCACTGCTTCACCACTTTGACAGAACGCCCCTAAGGAAATATGAAAGGACATCTTGTGGCAGCAGCTTCTCTTTGTGCCCAAAACAGTTTTATTGTTCAAAGCTGTGAGCGTCTGTAAAAAGGAGCTTTGTTTTGAATGACTTCTACATCTGTGTTTCCTCTAGTATCACATATTCTGAGTGGTGTTCTTCTGTGAAGGTGTGTCTACTAATCTGATCTTAAAGTCTGTGGGGGTTTTTTCTTTATCTTCTGCAGGCCAGTTAGTTATATGACAGCTTGTACACCTAATTTCGGCCAATCATATATCAACAGTCATCTGTCAAATTTTTTCAGTCGTAGCATCTTGATTCATATGTAGCAGCTAATATACGCAACGGTCGAAATAAGAATCATCATTTCCTTTCCCATTGACTTCCGTCCCAGTTTTCATGGGGATGGACGTCTGTGTCTTCGGCAGGCGTAGAGCTAACAGAAATGGCGGCATTGCGATTTAGGAGCTCAAACAAGTATGAGACTCATCCACGACCTCCAACACAAAACTCTCCTCATCTTGCATGTTTCCACTGTTCATAGCGTTCCTTGACAGTGTCGTTTCTAAGTCACCAATTTAGTGCTACTTGGTCCCAATGGATTTTCCCATGGGGAACCTACTAGCAAGTTGCTAATTGGTTAGCAAGATGCTTCCGACAAACCGGCCACAATCAAACTGCAAACCTTCTGCTACAACAATCCCGCCCCCTTGACAAACGACCAATCGCATTCACTTTATTCACTCATGTAAAGTCGGGAAACTCTCGGGAGAATTCGGAAATGCAACGGTTGGAACAGCTGCTTCCCATACGAATTTAAAAACATCCATTATTTGGATACTTGGTACCTTCAGGTCTAACAGATTCTGAGTGTAGACGATCTCACTCTGCAACACAGTAGGTGGTCATTTCTGTCAGACTGTTTGATAACAGAATTAAGTTAAACAACATGTATTAGTTTTCTAAATGAAAATAACCGCAGTAGTAAAACATTTGTAGTGATGATAAATGAAGCCAGTTACTAAGTCAGCCTTTTATCACCTGAAGAACATCTCCAGGATTAAAGGACTAATGTCCTAGCAGGATCTAGAAAAACTCATTCATGCATTTATCTTTAGTAGAATTGATTACAGCAAATGTGTCTTCATAGGTCTGTCTTTAAAGTAGATCAGGGAGCTGCAGCTGATCTAGATGCTGCTGCCTGCGTCCTCACTAGAACTAAGAAAGTAGATCAGACAGCTGATCCAGATGCTGCTGCCTGCGTCCTCACTAGAACTAAGAAAGTAGATCAGACAGCTGCAGCTGCTGCTGCCTGCGTCCTCACTAGAACTAAGAAAGTAGATCAGACAGCTGATCCAGATGCTGTTGCCTGCGTCCTCACTAGAACTAAGAAAGTAGATCAGACAGCTGATCCAGATGCTGTTGCCTGCGT